CAGGAATTAACACTGCCTACCTATGAAGAGATCATGTGATACTTGGAAAATTCCTAGCATAATATGCTGAGTATTTGTCCCTAAAATTACTCTTTTCTATTAGCCATTTAGATTTTGAGTAAGTTTTGTCTGTACTTAATTTTAAAGGATAGCAAGTAATTCTCCTGGAATCAGTGGAACTGCTTAAATTACTTCTCAGGGGAGTAAGGGCATCATTACAATCTGGTCCATAATTAGAATACAGTGAAACAACACCAAGGATCCCACTCCAAAAAAACAAAACTAACAATATTTATTAATAGGGATTTTTGGGAAAGTCTCTACAACCATGTCCAGATAAGCACAGATGTTAGGTACCCCAGGGACAACTAGAAGCAGCGCACTTTGTGCTGCTGCTAGTTGTCCCCAGGGAACGCCTATGCCATGCACCCTCTGGCACGTGGCAGGTTACCCCAGGTGGGGTACGGGAGGCTGGGGCCAGCAACTATGCTGTTCCCAGCAGCCTTACTGGGGTCCTAGGGGGATGCAGAAGCTTTAGCCATGGTGTTCCTGCAGCTGGGAGCCTGGCTGACAGCCAGAGTGTGGCTTTGGCCGACCAGGCTCCAGTTTCAGATGGCGCATGCTTTCCCCATGTGCACCACCCCACCTTTTTTCCATGTGGGTTTTTTTGACCCTGGAATTTCCTAGGGTCAACCTCCCCCTTCCCCTCACTGCAAGGTAACAGTGCAAGAGACACCTGAATGTGCAGTGTATAGTGCTACCGACAAGTCTGCGGTGCCACATACTGCATGGCCATGCTCATCTGGACGCGGCCTATTGGGCTAAGAATTAATATATTCACTTTTACTCCAGGACAAGTTTTCCGTTATTACAATTGTTATCAAAAGCACTTGAAAAGAAATAACAATTAGCTATTTACTCTGGCATTGCTGAAAATATCACCACTCTAGTCCCTGTCATGAGTCACTGTTAAGTAAATGCCTTTCAACACAAAAGACAAACAGCCTTTTGCTGTTTATAAAGCAAGCAGTTGACTAGATATTTCACCTACTATTAATAGTGTATCAAGTGTTCTTTTCATATTTGATTTGTCATTTCAATTAACAAGATAGACCACCTGTTTTTGTTTCAACATATAATACTAACATGACTGAAAACAGCACTGCCCCTGCAACTGTTTGTTGCTTCTTTCAGGAAATAAAAATAATTTTTACTTCAGTTCAAGATGGTGAAGAAGTTTCTTTGCATGTTATAATGTTGTATGCTCCTACTGCTTACACAAGGTGGGCTGATGGATTTATTTTTTTTTAAAGTAAAGAATGGACTATCTGTATTATAGTAGCTATCCCAGTGATCTAACAAGTTCTGG